CCAATATTCACTCAGTCATAGCGCCATCTGCTGGCAACAGGAAATGACACGTTTTACCCTGTATATGAACATATGAACTTCAAAACTGTCCTAGGAAACCCTTAACACATTGATGAGGCCATGTTGTAAAACTTTTCGGTTTACGACTTGGCAGTGGCGTGGCGGCGAAGTGCCATGCTGCGCCATGACACAGGAAGTTGTTGTAACTTTACTGTAGATGCTCAGATCTGTACGAAATTCTACACGTTTAATAAGAGTTCCACCCTGAACACATGTACATGCTGACATTCACCCACAGTCATAGCGCCACCTGCTGGCAACAGGAATTGATCTTTAAACGAAGCAGCCCCCACAGCACGTTTGACCTATATGTATGAAATTTCTGTGGCACATGTATCATGTCCAGACGTACCAAAAAGCCTCTTGGAGCGATGCCCTAAACCCAACAGGAAGTCGGCCATTTTAAATTTTATTGTCATTTTTGTATTATTTACAGGCTCCGTACTTTAACAAACTCCTCCTACAGAATTAGTCTGACCAGCTTCAGGTTGTCGCTGTCTACTCTAAACCCGTTGACGATTAAAAGTTGCACAAATGGTCAGTTTTCGTTGAATGGCATCCAAAAATCGATGATTCGCCATGAAAGAGGAAGTTGTTGTAAGTTCAGCACCAAACTTTACAAGCTTGATAACAGTCCCGCCCTGAACACATCTACATACCAATATTCAGTTGTAGTCATAGCACCAAGTGCTATGTAGCGCCATAAAGGGGACACAGGAAGTGATGATTAACACATTTGTGCAGCGTTCCGAAGCGCATGGCAAATTCACAGCTGCACAGGCAGAGCTTCAGACTCTGAAACGTGGCCACCTCAACGTGCTACATGTGCCCGACGCTTTTAAATATTTTTATTTATTTTTAAATTATATATATATATCTATATATCTATATCTATATATATTATATATATATATCTATATCTATATCTATATATATATATATATATATATATATATATATATATATATCTATCTCGATCTCATTAGTCGGGGACAGCCCTAGTCCACACTAACAGTGAGCCTGGGATACCAAGTAACCCAAATTAACAGCTTGCAACACTATTATCAATGACCACACATGAGCGCATTTACTCTTACCACTGAAGCAGCTGTGCACATTGCTGCGCACAGTGATGTGGGTGCTTGGTGGCAGTAAGAGGAAGGGGCCATGCCACCCTTTATACCTTCCTGTTCCTGTTTAACCATTACCTGCCATCTGCTGACCCTGCCCACACCTGTCAATTAACACAGCAATGGGCCTCCAACCTCATGCTGCCACACAACCATGCTTACACAGAAGGCACCAAAAGGACAAACACAATTTCAGCAAAACATTACACACAGTTTCTCACATTACGTTTTATTAAAAAATACTGTAATAATGCAAGTTCAAAGTGAAAAGTTTTTAGTCAGATTACATAAAAGAGATCAGACACCTGAACGGCAGTAAAACAAAGTGAACAGTGCACCTTTGTTTATATTACTGTGAGTAGTAACAACGTTAGCTGTCGGCTAACTGTAAGCCCGCAGCGTTACTTCTACAGGCTACACACAGCAATATAAACAACTGTGCCTGTTCTCTTCAAGTCGTTCTTATAAAATACATCCAGCAACCTACAACAAACACACCGCTGCAATCACGGATATGAGGTTGTCAGGTGAAAGGTCATAATGTGGGTCATTTTATTACGGCTAAATTATTATTCATTCATTTTACCAATACTTACATTAGGCAGGCCTTCACAAATTTCTTTTTAAATAAATAGCCCAAAGGAAATGTTGCTTTGACAGAAGGGCACTTCCCAATGGGCAAAGGGGCAGGTGCTCAAGTAGTGTTTTGGGGCTGCCACACTAGCCGCTAGGTGAGAATTATGCTGTGTGTTACATAGTGACGCAGAGAGGTTACTGAAGTAAAGGCTGGACTACAATCCAGCAGTGTTTTCAGTGGGAGATGGGAACTCCCTTTGGGCTGGACTTTGGGCTTTTTCAGTTTGCAAACCTGTTACATGCACAAAGAATATAACACAATAAAGGAGAGGGGAAAAGCCAAAAAGAACAATACCACCTCTTTAAATAGTAAATGAACACCATCAGTCACAGCTGTAGCACTACAGATAGACCTCAGGTAAGCTGCCCTCTTTCTCCACATTTGTCAATCCAACTGAGGAAGTCTTTTCAGCAACCACATGCCTGCATGTCTCTTCTGCAAGCAATGGAGGAGGCATGTGGAGACATTCAGGTGGGGTCAGACCACGGTTGGATACACAACACACAAGATGATATTTTCTCCGCTGCCCGACCAGGGAGGACGTTGCATGTTATGTGGAGGAGGTGATGTGGCCAGACCCTAATAGAAGGCGTGATCCATAAAGCTATCTGCACGATCCTTTACACAAGTATTTCTCTTTGCCAGTCCACTATCATTTTGCTTTTTTTATTGCTGTTGTACTGATTACTGTGCTGGGATTGTCTGTCTGTTTTTGTAAAAACATGTAAAGAAAAAAAAAAATTCCTGAAGCTGTTCCATTTTTGTTTATTGAAATGTGAGTAGATTTACTAAACAATCTTTCCCAGAGATCTGTTTGATGAAATAAAAAAAAGTCTACAAAGCACTAAACATTTTTGTGTTGAATAATGCTCAGTGTGTTGCTGCTGCTGTGAATGTTTAAGAAACATGATGCATGTTTCCATTGATCCAAAAATGCCCTTTTGAAAAAAGAAGTGCTAGGTTTTGATTGCAGAAATTTGAAGTAGAAGTGAGTTTATCTCCAGGTGTTGTTTCTTATTTGGCTTGTGTGCAGAGTTTAGACACAGTGGGTCAAATTCTGCATTTTGTGTGTAACTAACCAGGAATTGGTCAGGAAACTGATTTTGGTGGAGGAGTGTGGTGGCAGGCTGACTGGCGAGGCACGAGGGAGAACCGTGTGGGGGAAGTCCGAGGGGAGAGGGCAGGTGGGCGATCTCAGCTGACTCGACGGAGGTGAGTGAACCTGGGAAAAGGCAGACAGACACAGGGAAAACTAAGGGAAACAGAGATGATGCAGGTTTCTCAAGGGCAAAGTGGCACCAGGTTTGGAGCAACGACGATCAAGC